GGGGTGCCATCACCATGCGGAGTCGTCGTCGTACCTGCCGGGAAGAACTGGTGTGAGAAAAGAGGGAACGAGACCCCCAAATCCCCCTGGGACCCCAAACAACCCCCGGATCCCCACCCCGGGGTGTGGGGGACGGTGCAGCCCCTTGTCCCTGTGCGCGAGTCGGGGGGGACAGGGACGGGGAGACTCACCTTGACCTGTCACTGCCGGCCCCCAGCAGCAGTTCCGTCACCGCGGCGTCGGGGCTGGCGCGTTTGCCGTACCTGCGGGACACGGGGCACGCGCGTGTGCAACGGGAACCCCACGGGGGCGTGCGCGAGTGTGCAAAGGAGGAACCGCCGGAGCCCCCGGGAGTGCACAAGGACGGGCACGGGCGTGAAAATGGAGACTCGCGCGTGCAGAGGGGCTCGCACGAGCACCTCGGGGTTCGCCCACGCGCGTTCACAGTCACTCGCGCTCACCTCTGCCGCGTGACCAGGTTGATGTAGTGGCGAAGGGCCGAGAAGTACCGGGCCATCTCCTCTGGGGACGCGTCGTCCCCGGGGCTCTCGGGCTTGGCGGGGTACGCGGCCGCCAGCGCGGCCAAGCACAGCAGGGCACAGAGCGACAGGGCCACCAATGCGTGCCACGGCCGCGGGGATAGCACCATCTGTGGGGATACGGGAGCAAGGGGCGGCTGCGGCTTCGTGTGGGTCACCTCCATCGCCCCCGCATATCCCTATCACCCTGGGGTACCCCTGTCACCCTGGGGTACCCCTGTCACCGCCAGGTATCCTCTATAGGTCACCTCCATCACCCTCAGCTATCCCCATCATCCTTGGGTACCCCCAACCCTGCTCTGTCCCCCACCAAACCCCCATTCCCCTGAGATACCTCACCCCCAAGGACCCCAACCCCTGTGGGAATGTCACACCCCCAGGACGCCCCCCTGTCCCCCAAAAGGGATGTATCCCTCCACCACCTGGGACCCCAGCCCCACTCAAGAGACTGCTTCCCTCCAGGGACCCTCCCATGTCCCAGAGACCTCCACAGTGTCCCAAAGGGGCTGTCCCACCCAAAAGGACCCCAGAGGCTCACGTCCACCCCAAGGGACACCTCCCCACAAGGGATGCCACATGTCCCCAAGGGAGGGGGGTGATTCTCCCTCCCTGGGATCCCGACCTCCCCTCAGGGACCCCCCAGGACCTCAGTCCCATCCCCGCACTCACGATGGCAGAGGCAGAGGTGACAGGCAGGGCCTGGCAGTGGGGTGACAGTGCCAGGGACACGGCAGCTCCCAGACCCGGCTGGGGTTTTATAGCCTCGGAGGGGGCTCCTGGCTCCTCCCTCATGCGTGACCAACCCACTGGCACGCAGGACCCCAGCGACCCCCCCCCGCTACCACCCCCGACCAGCACCTTGTCACCATCCCTTGGCAGAGCACCTCAGCCTGGGACCCCGAGGGGCTGGAGAGGACAGAGCATGGGGGGCATTGATGGGACACAGGGATATGGGGACATGGGGACACGAGTGCAGCCAGAGGACACAGAAGTGGCAATGGCAGATGGGCACAGGACATGGACACAGATGTGACATGTCACCAGGGCACATGAACATGGCACACAGGTACAGGTGTGACATGTAGCCGGGGCACAAGGACACGGGACACAGACACAGATGTGACACACAACCATGGTGCGTGGACACAGGTGTGACAGGCAGCCATGGCACACAGGCACACATGTCACATGTCACATGGCACAGATGTGACATACAACTTTGGCACATGGGCATGGGACACAGACATGGATGTGACATAGCCAGGGCTCTTGAATACATCATAAGGACACAGAAGTGACAGGCGGCCATGGCACAAGGACACGGGACATGGACACAGATGTGACACAACCATGGCATAGGACATGAACACAGAGGTGACATGCAAGCATGGCACATGAACACAGACACGACAGGCAGGCCTGGCACATGAACATGGCACACGGACATAGATGTGACGTACAGCTACGGCAACTGGGCACAAAAGTGACACAGCCATGGCACAGGGACACATATGTCACACACAGCCACGACACACGCCTGTCCCCAAGACAGCCTCAGGATGTGACAGTGTGACACAGGAACAGCCACACCCAGGAACACAAACACGGTACAGCCGCGACATAGCACATGGGACACCACCCATGGCCCTGGCAAAAGCTGCCCACGGGGGACAGCGCAGGGGACAGTCCCAGCCCGAAGCCGCGGCTGCCTCAGTTTCCCCAGACAGGGCACGAAGTCCCTGTCACCACAGCCCCCGTCACCACAGCCGCTGTCACCGCAGCCCCCGCCACCGCCATCGATCGCTGTCACCGCCCCCAGGACGGATGAGGTGCCCTTTCCAGCCGCCAGCACCGGGAACACTAATCCGGTATGGATTTGCCATTAAGGAGCAATCACCGGCTCCTGGGGAAACTGAGGCACGTAAAGGACCCGGCGGGGAGGTGCCCACCGGGCAGGGACCACCAAAGCCACCCTGTGGGTGCTGGGATGGGGAGAGGTGGCAGAAGGGGGTCCCCAAAAACGTCGGGATGGTCCCAGCCAGATGCAGCCGCATCTCCGGCCGGTGGGATGGAAGGGACACGGATCGTCTCCGCAGGGGATACTGCGGGGTGACACCGGCCCAGATAGAGGGGACACGGCTTGCATGGACCACGGCTCGGTGGTGCGCCACCGCTCCGACTGGAGGTGACAAAGCTCCTGGGGACCCCGCGGGGTGCCACTGTTCCGAATGGTGGGGACATGGTTAAGCGAGGACCCTGCGGGGTGCCACCAGCCCGGCTGGAGGGGACATGGCACACGGGACCCCGCGGGGTGCCAGTCCCGGCCGGAAGGGACACGCTCCCCACTCCTGCCCCGGCCGCCACCCCGGCCAGCGGCGGCAGGGACACAGCTGGTGGCAGTCCACCGCGGGGGTCCCAGGCCCGCGGGGGTCCCCAGCCCCGGGGGGGGGTCACCCCCGTGGCGTGGCCGCGGTGTGACACGCGCCGGTGTGCGGGTACACGGGCGGGGGGTCCACGCTGCCCCGGGCGGGCGGTGCCGGGCTCACGGCAGCCTGGGGTGAGGGGGGGAACTGAGCCCCCCCAGCCCCCGCAGCCCCCCCAGGCCGGCACCTTTCACGTCCTCGCGGTCCATGCGGGGCTTATCGGATTGAGAGGGCTCCGGACCCCCCGCAGCGTCCTGACACGTGTGCAGGGAAACTGAGGCAGCGGGGCTGGATCTGCCCAGCAGACGAGAGCCCCGAGGGGGGGGGTCTCAGCCATCCTGGCGTTCGGGGGGGACACACACCACCCCCACAGCCCCACCGACCCCCACCACAGCGGCAGTCACCGCGTTGTGTCACAGACGTCCCCGAGCCGCGGCCGGGGGAGATATCAGGGTGCGGGTGGCCCCCAGCCCCCCGGGGGGGGGGAGTCGGGAAGGGACACGAGGACTTTCTGCCCCATTTATTCCGAGTGACGGTAAACAGCCATTTTCCAAAGGTCAGAGGATGGCTCTGCCAGCGGGAGGGGGTGGACACAGAGGTGGAGGGGCTCCCTCAGCAGAGGTGGGACCCCGAAGGGGACAGGGTAGGGGGGCCCCCTATCTCTCCACTGGGCATTGAGGAGGATGAGGAGGGTCTGGGGGTGAAGGTGCGTGGCTGTAGCCCCGGGGGGGGTTGGTCCTGGGAGGGTGACGAGCCCCGGTGCTCCCCCACCCCGAGCAAACAGGGCTCTGCCGCTTCCCCGCGCTTTATGGCCCCGGTTCCGCCGGAGGTGCATTAGGGGCCCCCCCGGGCTCCCCCCACCCCGGAGGAAGCCCCTTATCAGCCCTGTTTGCTTTTCCGGAGGGGGGAGGGGGGGACGGACACCTGCCGAGCCCGGGAAGGGGACATAGACCTGCCCAGCCAGGTGACAGGATGGGGGCAGCGAGGACACAGTCTGTGGGGACCCTGGGGGGCTGCCAACCGGGACCCCCCACCCCGTGCCAGAACACTCATAACCCACCAGTTGAGCAACCCAGGTGGGCATGGGCAGGGCACCCGGCCTGGGATCCCCCTCAACCCCCTGCCCCAGTTTCCCTGCTGAAGGGAGGGGAACACCCAGTATCACCCACACTGGCTCACCCCCGAGCCCCCCCAGTAGCCTCCCCCCCCCCCGGGCCCCCCCAAAGCAGCCCCCCCTTCAAACCCCCAAAACGTCTTTTGCCACAGCAGCTCCCCCCAAAAGTAGCTCCACTCCAAACCCCCAGAGCACCTTTCCTGAAGACCCCAAAAAACAGCTTCCCTGACGCAGCCCCTCCTCCAAGCCCCCAAAGTGGCTCCCCTAAAGCAGCTCCCCCAACTCCAAGGCCCCCAAAAGCATCTCCCCATATTGAAGTCCCTCCCAAGGCCCCCAAAAGCATCTCCCCATATTGCAGTTCCCCCCAAAGCCCCCCAAAAGCAGCTCCCCTCAAAGCAGTTCGCCCCAAACCTCCCAAAAGTGGATTCCCCTGAATCAGCTCCCCAATGCAAGCCCCTCAAAAGCATCTCCACCAAACCTCCCAAAAGTGGATTCCCCTGAATCAGCTCCCCCCTGCAAGCCCCTCAAAAGCATCTTCCCCAAACCTCCAAAAGTGGTTCCCCCCGAAGCAGTTTCCCCCAAAAGCAGCTCCCTCCAAATCAGTTCCCTACAAGCCCTCCAAAAGCATCCTCCCCAAAAGCAGCTCCCCTTCCAAGCCCCCCCCAAACAGTTTTTCCTTCAAACCCCCCAAAGCTGCAGCCCCCCACCCTCTGTCACACAACAGCCAAGCTCCCCTGGGGAAATGACATAAAAGACTTCTCCTTTCATCAGTAAAAATACACTTTTTTGGGGGGGGGCAGTGACACCCCTCAGTGGGGAGAGGGGCTGCGGCCACACAGTGGCTGGCACCCCCCAGGCAGGACCCCCCCACGCCCCCTCAGGAGCCCTGACCTCTGCCAAAATTATCAAATACAGTATTTACAAACAAAGAAACAAACAAACAAAAAACCTAATGAATAAATAGCGGCAATCCTTAAAAAAAAACCACACCGCTCCTTTCCCTCCCCTTCCCCGCAGTTTTCCCGCTCATCCATCGGTGGCCAGGATCACCACAGCCCCGAAAATGCCGACATTCTGGCCGATGAGCTTCATCTGGTTCCAGAACTCGACGCGGCGGGCGGCATGCCAGTAGCCCAGGTTGCCATCGATGAGCAGGATGGCGAGGGGCAGCAGCACTGCCAGCACCTGGGCAGCCGCCCGCACGTAGTATCCTGACAGGAATGCCAGGGCCAGCAGCCCGTAGAGCAGGAAGAGCAGCTGCAGGGCCAGCTCCCCTCCCAGCAGGTGGTCCAGGTAGGCCAGGCGGTCCTCAGTGCTGTGCTGCAGGGAGTAGGCCTGGGGGGGCAAAGGGGGGAGTGGGGTGGCACTGGCGACACTCACAGTGAGGGGTGTACCCCAGGGCTAGTGGGGGGTGGCACTGGTGCCAATGGTGGCACTGGAAATGCTTGTCCAACGTTTCTCCCTCAGGGACAATGGGGGAACTGGAGTGCAGTGACACTGGTGCCAGTGGTGGCACTGGTAGCGCTGACTGGAGACTTCTCCCCCAGGGACAATGGGAGAAGTGGAGTGTGGTAGCACTGGTGCCAATGGTGGCACTGGTAGCGCTCACCCAAGGCTTCTCCCCCAGGGACAATGGGAGAACTGGAGTGTGGTGGCACTGGTGCCAGTGGTGGCACCCACCTGAGTTTCTCCCAGGGACAACGTGGGGCTGAGGTGTGGGGCACTGGTACTACTGGTAACACCCACCTGAGCTTCTCTCAGGGACAATTTGGGGCTGGGGCGTGGTGGCACTGGAAACACCCACCCCAGGAGGTTTCCCCCGAGGAAATTGTGGCTCCATCCCCCAAGCAGCAGCAGGGCAGGGATGTGTCCCCCGTACATGGCAGACGAGGTAGATGCCCAGGAACACCTGTGCCCGTACCTGGCAGATGAGGTAGATGCCCAGGAACACTTGGCCTGTGGACTGCAGGGAGCGGCTCCGTGGTTTCTGCCGGTACAGCTCCCCGGCGCCGCTGGCCAGGATGAGGAACCCACCGATGATGGCGATGGTCCGGGAGTACATCCGCACCTGGGGGGGGTCACTGTCACCCCTAGCCCCGGGATCTGGGGGTCTGTCACGGCCCAGGGAGGGGCTCTCACCTTCAGCCAGTCGCCATAGTGCACGTGCCCCCCAATGTGGGCGGCGTAGGTGGCCACAGCGAGCTGCAGGGCGGCCCCCAGGGCGAACCAGCGCCGCTTCACCCCGAAGGACATGAAGCTGGCACAGAGCACAGCCACCCCCATGTCCACGTACAGGTAGGGCACTGGGATGTCCGGCTTCCTGTGGGCATGGCAGCTCCAGGGTGTGCCCAGTGCTCACCCAGGTTCAACCCAGACCTCTAAACCCTCCCCCGAGGTCGTAATTCTGATAGAGCCCTTCCCCAGCCCCCCAGACCCCCCCCTCCCCCCCCAACTCTGCCAGAACCCTCCCCTGGGTCTACAGAGCCCCATATCAGCCCCAAGCCCCCTCCAGGCCCCTCAGCCCCACACCAGTCTCAGATCCCCCGGGCTCTCCTCCAGACCCTCATGGCCCCACACCCCACAGCCACCCCCAGCCCGTCACAGTCCCCCATCAGCCCCAAACCCCACAACCAGCCCCGGACCCTCCCAGCCCCACACCAGCCCCAGAATCACCCCCAGGCCCTCACAGCACTGGGACCCCCCAACCACCCCCAGCCCTGCAACCACTCCCAGACCACCACTGTCCCCCATCAGCCCCAACCCCATAACCACCCCTGGATCCCCACAGCCCCACGTCCCCCACAACCACTCCCAGACCACACAACCACCCTCAGACGCTCCCAGCCCCACAACCACCCCCAGACCCCGCAGCCCCCTCAGGTTTATCCCCTCCCCGTCTCCCCACTCCGCCCCGCACCGGCGCAGGTCGGCGCGCTCCGCGCAGAGCAGGAGGCCGCTGAAGCAGTGCCAGAAGGGGAAGCGGGTGAGTAGGACGCCGCCGCCCGCCGTGAGCAGCCGCAGCGCCCGGCGCCGCCACCCGCGGCCCGCCGCCATCACGGGCCCGTCCCGCCGGAAGTGCCGCACCGGAAGTACCGCCCTAAGCCCTAACCCTGCCCCAAGCTCCACCTCCTTCATGGAAGCCCCACCCCCTTTCCTAAGCCCTGCCCCATCAATGACTTATTTCCTCTGAAGCCACGCCCCTTGTGCCTAAGCCACACCCCTCCATTGCAATTGATCCCCCTCAAAGCCCCGCCCCCTCCATTGAGCCCCAACAGACGCCGGTGATGGTTAAAAAAATTTCGGGTTTTTATTGTTTTTTTTTGCTAAACAAGACTAAAAAATTTTCCTTTTTTTTCTTTTTTTTTTTAATATTTTTTTTTAATCTTTAACTCTCCTAAAGGCAGGGCTTGAATTGTTTTTTGAGTTTGATCCATTTGTTTTTTGTTTTTAAAAAAAAAAAAAAAAAAGGGGAGGGAGAGGATCGTGGCAAAAAAAAAATTAAAAAAATTAAAAATTAAATGAAAAAGGGCAAAAAAATTAAAAACATAAAGGAAATAAGTGGGGGGGAACCCCCAAATCCAGGTTCTGGATGATCCTGGGATGGGTGTTAGGGGGGATTTTTTGCCACAATCCTGCTAGAAGCAAATATTTAAAGAACATTTTAATATATATTCATATATATATTTAAAGATAAGAAAAATAAGACTAATTCAAGCCTTGCCCTGTGCAAACAAAATTAAAACGAGACCATGTTGGTCACGAGGGTCCCGGGTTGGCCACCGCAGTGAGCTTGTTAATTTTATTTTTTGGGCGTTTTTTGGGGGGGATAGGGAAAGGTAGAAATTGGGAGAAAAAAAGGAAAAAAAAAAAAAAGCCAAAAAATAAAATTAACAGAGCCTGCCCTGCTGGAGGGGAGAAAACATGGCAGAGAAAAACCAAAGTCTGTTAGTCAAGTAATGCGTGAAGAGGAGCTTTTAAATTATTCTCTTTTTCTCGTTTTTGTTTTTTTTTTTTTTTTTTAAGTTCAAAAGTTTGAATTTTGGAGTTGAGATTTCCCCCCCCCAAAAAAAAAAAAAAAAAAGGAAATAAAAGCGTGAAGGTGCCCCTGGCGCCGCCTCCCGGGAGGGAAGGGACAACGGGGACAGGGCGATCTCATCCCGAGATGGCCTCAGGATGACAGGGACGTGTCCTTCTGTGTCTGCTGTGCTTGTGAACGCTGCAGGACCTTCTGGCTTTCCACGTCCCGGAAATGTTTCTCCACCTGCATTGGGAAGGGCAGGATGGGGGGGGAAGAAAGAGATGTGTTTAGGGGAAAAAAAAAAAGGTGGGGATGGGATATGGGGTGGGAAGGGGCTGGAATCTACCCAGGGATGGGCCACAGGTGTCCCCAGGGATGTGACACCCTCCCAGTATAACCAGTGTCTCCAGTTCCCGCAGTCCCTATTCACTATTTAATGTATTTAAAAAAAGGGTGGGAAGGGGATCTGGGACAGGAAGGGGATCCCTAGGGTGGGAAGAGATACCCAAGAGAGGCTGGAGATCACCAGGAAGGACTAGAGACCAAACAAGGAGGAATACTGGCTGTCCCCAGGGATGTGACACCCTGCCAGTATTCCCAGTATCCCCAGTCCCTACTCATTCTTGTGTATGTGACTCAGAAAAGGGTGGGAAGGGGATTCAGGGTGGGAAGGAGATCCACAAGAGGGGCTCCATGAGGAGCTGGAACCAACCCAGGGATGGGCTACAGGGGCCCCCAGGGATGTGACACCCTCCCAGTGTCCCCAGTCCCCCCAACCCGTACTCACTATTTTGTGATGTGACTCAAAAAATGATGGGAAGGGGATTTGGAGCGGGAAGGCGATACCCAGGAGGGGTTGGAGCCCACCCAGGGATGGACCACAAGTGTCCCCAGGGCTGTGACACCCTCCCAGTATTCCCAGTCCCCCCCATACTCACTATTTTCCGTACGTGACTCAGGGCACTTCCCTCTTTGCCTTTACAGTTTTCCACCTGGTATGGAGGAGCAATAACGACTTCTTCCATCACAACTATGTTCTTCTCCTGCCATTTACAGTCTTTAATGCTGCAGGGGAGGGAAAAATGGGATCAGGGAATGCTGCCTGACCTGGGAAAGCCATCATCTGCCCCGCAGTGTCTCACTGAGGGGGAGCAAAAAGCCCCTCGGTCGCTCCGGGGTATCCAACTAGAGAGGGGTGGGAGTCAAGGGGATGGGATGTGTCAGGAAGGGGCAGGGAGCAGGAAGGGAGCCATCCTCCCTCCCTGAGGATTCCATGGCTCCATCCAGCACATCCCAGGACACACATCAGCATCATTCCATGGCAAACCTGAGGGACCAAGCAATGGGAATCCCCCCAAAAAAGGGTACGAGTGACCCCAAAACAGAGCGTGGGAAGGACTAGTGATCCCGAGGGAAGGGACTTACGTCTTATGGATAGTCTGGAAGAGCTGCTGCCCCTCCAGGGAGACACCAGCACTAATTGCATATGCCTGGCTCATCTTCTCCTCCTTCTCCGTCCGTGCTTTGTTGGCAAGCTGGGAGAACACAGGGAGAGGGAATTTGGCTGGGTGTCACCCCGGAGCTCTGAGGGGACAAAGGGAGCCCCCCCCGGCACAGCTCTGCCATTCCCCATTAAATCAGTATAACAACAAACGTGACATCCCCACCCTCCCACCATCCCTTGTCCGCACAATTCCAGCCTTAATTCCTTTTTTGAGGCACTGCCAGCATCCCCCTGATATTTGGGGAATGTAGGTGTCACCTTTTCACATCCCTCTGTCCCTTCCCCTCGGCCTTTTCCAGAATAATTCTGGCATTTTAGATCCAAACCACCTTCACTACTTGGTTTTCTCAGGGGATGGAGATGGGGAAGAGAAGCCTGGAATAACCACTATGTTGGGAGTAAATGCTCCACACAGGATGATGGGAACTTTATCCCAGAGCAGTTACTCTGTTCCCAAAATAAGGGCAGAATTGGTTATCTGGGAGTTGCATCCATGTGTGGGGAAGTGTGATTCCATACAGGGTCCTGGAATAAAGAAAGGAAAGCCCAATCTTGGCATCTCATGGATGTGGGAGGAGAAGGACACAGTGCATGGAGGCAGGAGCCCTGGACCAGTCGCCTTTTCCTGGGCCTTTTCCCGGCTGGAGCTGCCACAATAGAAGAGCTACATTAGCATTGTCCCTCCTCTTCCTCCTCCTGGAACCTCCTCGCTTCCCAAGCCGGACTGGCTTCCTGTGTGAGGGGGGGTTCCACCCCTTCCAAAGCCCCTCTGGATACAGAAAGCCTGAGCTCCCACTGACTGGGGACACTTTTGTGCTCTCAAGGGACAAGTGTCCCTGTCCAAGCCATCCCACATCTTCTCTCCATGTCCAGGGAAGCACAAGTCACTGAAGGAGCACTGGGGTGCTCCCCACGTGCTTCCCAGCCTTCCATGGAGCAAGGAAAACCTCAGGAGGGAAGGGATCCTTCCTCACCCCCAGCACGAGCAGTCCTCAAAGCCTCCCACCCCATTCCATGTGGGAATTGCTCATTCCAAGACCACCAGTCAGGCTTCCAAACTGACCACAACATTCCACAGGAATTTTCCTGCACCCCACATCATCCCCAGCTGTCTGTGGGGATGCCACAACCCCTTGTCCATCTGGGGGGGATGCCCCAAGGCTGGAGAACTGGGATCACCCCCAGCTCCATCCCCCCATCAAGCTGGGATGGGCTGGAATTGTGGCCCTGAGCACTGGGAATCACCTCTGCCATGCCCAGCTCAGCTCCCCGGAGCAGATACCTTTCCCAGATAGATCCCCTTCCCAGAGAGATCCTCTTCCCAGCCAGTAGCTCCCCTTCCCATCCAGCAGATCACTCTTCCCCAGCCTGAGATTTAGATTCACTTTATCCAAAGCCTCTCTCTTTCCCAGGCCTTGGGATGCTCTTCTAGCAGCTGCTGCATCCAGATTTGGGATTTGAGAACAGCCCTGGTAAGAGGCCACCGGGAGAAGACTGGAAACCCCAGAGAGGTGAGGATGAAGAGCTGCCAGCCTGGGCAGCATCCCAGCATTTCCATCAGGATCCATCCCTGTGCTCCTCATCCCCCTGCAATAGGATGTGCTCTCCCTACCCATCCATGTTTCCCAACAAAAAACGGATCAGAACCACCAAGCTCTCCAGCCTTCTGGATTCAAGCATTCCAAGGAATCCCAGTATTCCCCCTGCAGGGAGCATCCTCGGGGCTGCTGGAAAAGCTGGGATAGGGACACACACCTTGTGTGAGGCAGAATGAATGGATGAGTCACTTCCCTGCTCCCTCTGGATGAATGACTGGAATACGCAGCAGGAGGCACAAGGAGAGGGTGAGGGCCACCAAGGGCCATTCCAGGGCCTCCCAAAGCTAGGATGGCCCCTCATCCCGCTCAGGTGCCAAGCACAGCTTGGGGGATCACCTCCCACCACAGCCCCCCATCCCTTTCCAACAGGGGCTCCAGATCCTGCTGTTTTCCAAGCCTTTGCTCCCAACACTCTCTCTCCACTGAGAACCAGGCGAGGTTCTCTGGAGCTCTGCTTCCTCTCCAGGGCCTTCCAGAGGAGCACCTGGAGCATCACAACTCCCACTGTGCAACACACAAAACACCACCATCTAGACCCCCAAACACCAAAATCCAGACTCCAAATTCTGAAATCTTCTCCCAGTACAATCAGAATCAGCCATCCATACTCCAGTCCTGCAGCAATACCAGATGCTTGTGCATCCACGGGGAAGGAAATGTGGGGTCAGAGCCTCCCAGAACCCCCCTCCTGCCACTGGATTGGGAACATGGCCACTCCAGTGGCTGCAACACGACCATCCATTACTTCCCCACAATGATGTGGATGCTGGAAAAGATCAGTGTTGGAATTCCTGAGGGGTTTCCCCTTGGGCTGCGCTCCCAGTGATGTCACTGGATGCAGTGACAGCCAACAGTCACGTCTTGATAACAGCTGTGTCACCCGAGACCTCCGATGTGTTAATCCATCGGGAAGGGATGGACACCTGGCTGGTGCCACCTGTGTGACACCAACCACTGGGAGAGGTGTCCCTGTGGGATGAGGAGGTGACAGCTGAGCCCCCCCCCACAGCCAGGCCCCACACCTAGACTCATCCCAGCACCGAGGGCTTGGGGTCACCTTCCCTTTCTTTGACAGCATTGCTTGGAATCAGCAGCAATCCCATTCCAGGGATTCCTCAAAATCCAGGTGTGCTTTGTCCCTCCTGTCTGCTGTGACACCACCCAGCTTTATCCAGGCCCCAAACACCATCACTTAGAGCCAAACTGCTAGAATCCAGGCCCAAAAATACCAGAATATCCAGGCCCCAGAATACTGTCATCTTGACCCCAAATGCCAAAATCAAGGCCCCAGAATGCCATCACCTTAGACACAAAATACCAAAATCCAGGCCCCAAACCCCAGGTCCCAAAGCACCAAAAATCCAGACCCAAAATGTCCAAAATCTAGATACAAGCCACCCAAAATCCAGAGCCCCAAAATACCAAAATCCAGGTCCCAAAGTGTCAAAACCCAGGCCCCAAAACACCACAACTTCAGACCCAAAATGCGCAAAATCTAGATATAAACCACCCAAAATCCAGGCCCCAAAACCACCCAAAATCCAGATCCAAAATGCCCAAAATCCAGGCCCCAAAACTATCAAAATTCAGGCCCGAAACCCACCAAAATCCAGAGCTTGAATCCACCAAAATCCAGAGCCTGAATCCACCAAAATCCAGAGCCTGAATCCACCAAAATCCAGATCCAAAATACACCAAATCCAGGGCCCAAAATGGCTAAAATCCAAATCCAAAATGCCCAAAAGCCAGGGTCTAAACTGCCAAAATCCATGGCCAATTGCCCCAAAATCCAGACCCTAAGCCCACCAAAATCCAGGCCCCAAACCCACCAAAATCCAAGCCCCAAACCTGACAAAATCCAGGCCCTAAACCCGACAAAATCCAGGCCCTAAACCCG